TCGGGGGCCCGGAGACCGCAGATGGGACGGTCGCGTAAGTCCTCTCTTGGTACCAGGTTGCCGAAGGAGGTCACCCGGTCACCCAGATGAGGTTCCTTGCCCGTTGTTACCTCCGCACCTCGGCCAATGGCGTGGCACCTCATCGTCGCCGTGGCCAATCCTGTCGCCAGTTTTCGTGCCGACCGCCGACCGATCGCCGATCCGAGACCCGCGCCCAGCTTTGTGCCCAGATTTAAGCTTCTTCCTTGCTGGGCAGGATCTCCAGCCTCACGAACCGTGCGTATCCTTTTGACAGTTCCGTCCGGCGGCTTCTCTCCTTCGTAACGCGCGTCCCGTCGGAACCGTACGCGCCGGAACGAACGCTTCGCCGTCTTTAACCGGAGGTGCTCTCGCGACGGAGGCTTTGCTGTTGGAGGAATCTCGACGACGATCGCCCGGCGGACAAGCTGCGAGGCTCACGATGGCCGCGAGGTTCGCGATCCTGCTGTTGCTGACCACCGCCGTCGCCGCGGTGTCCTCCGCTGGATTTCTCGGTGAGCCGCGTCAGTTTGCGTAGAAAACCTCGCGGTTTCCCGTACCTTCCGATTCAGTGGGAATATCTGCGCAACGTTCCGCCAGGCAACGCGCGAACGACCGTCGGGATCGAGCCTCGTTAGGGTAAACGGACGCGCGTTACCGATCGCGCGGCCTTCTCCCGAGGGTGATTCGATTTTCATCGGACGAGCGCGTTTTCCTCGTTTGTCTCGCGATCGTTCGTGACTTTAAACGGGTCTTCGTTTTAAATAGGACTCGCAGGAGTCGGGTTTGCCAGCTGCGTCCCAGTAAAACGAGAAAGTACGCGGACAAACGTATTTCCGAGTCGGCGCGACGCGCCTGACACACTTACCGAGCCGCGTTTTGTTTACGGCGATCGCGAATTTGAGGGAACGGTGTCAGCACGTCGGCTGGAAACTCCGAGAAACGTCGGCCGCGCCGGGAAGCACGCCGGTTTCCTGCCTTTTTCCCGGTTTTTTCGTTTCGCTTGACTTTCGGCCGACGACTTTCGTTTCGTTCCAATTTCTCCGCGCGCGAGTTTCTCTGATGCGCCTTTTATTTCTCCTGGACAGAGACGCTGCTCTCCTGGGACCTGCCCGACGCTGTGGGACGATCGACCACTGCCCAGTCCCAGTGCCTATGCCAGACGTCGAATTGCCTGTGCTGCGTCGACTTGAACCTGACGGCCACGATCGACCTCGGCGGGCCCGCATGCATCAACGTCAAGCAGAAGGAGCAGAACGTTTCGTTGAACTTGAGCTACGGGGATAATCCCGTGCACAATGCTACCATTAAGATCGGTGAGGGATGATTCGATGCCCGCGGTATTTATTAGACCAGTATCATTTTCACGGCTACGAAGGAAGTCAAAGTATACACTGAATTTCATTTAACCGACGAGCAAACGATGTAACGATTTTCTTAATAATTGCACAGGAATTAACCCTTAACGGACTGGGAGTATTCCAAGTTTCTTACCCCCGGAAAATAGAGTAACATAGATAGTAAGCGAAAACAAGTTCACAGAAGTGACCTAGCTTAATACTTAACATATTCATTGTAAATGTCACAATAACAGTGACACAAATAATAAAATGATTTCTGCCGCCATCGCTCCGTTAAGGGTTAACACAAGAATCGCTGAACTCGCAGAAATGAATCGCGTTAAGTGATTGATTTCCGAATGTAATCGATTGAAATTGTCCGCAGTGGACGCGGCGAACAAGCCAACGTGCATGAACCTGCTGTCGGACCTCGCGCAGATATGCGCGAAATTTACGTCGATCAAACAAGCCGACGCCGGTTACGACGGGTGTTTGGTGATCGAGCCGGCGTTGCTGGGCACACCGCAAGCCACCTACCACATGGGATGCTTCAATTTCAATCAAGTGGTGCGACAAATCGAAGTGTCCGCGTGAGTACGATCCCGATAACGTTATACGATCAGGTTGTACGCGACACCCGATACCGTAGGCTCCTTTGACACTATCTTCGCGAACAAAGCGGAGAAGCGTCGCCCTCACACTTCACTCTTCGCAGAATCGTTCACACTTTTCCTAAACATTCATTAGCAACGAGATACTTAGCTTCCAGCAATGCAAATTTTTAGTCTAGCTCCGTTCGTTGTATTTACCTTATTCTTCGAAGCTATTTGCAATAAGGAAAGACCATTTTCTTCGTATCATTCAAAATCAAATCACATCATAACGCGTTTCACCCATCTGGTACTTGCGCTAGCAGAATCACGGCGATTAAACGCTTAAAACTGAATCTTTCCATTCCGATTGATGCAATTCCCCCAACAGCATCACGGAGACGATCGAACCTGCCGAGAACACGGAGGAGGAGGAGTCGTTGAACACCGAGGAGCTGATAGCAGCCGTGACTGCCAGCGCCGAGCAAGGCATAGCCCTGTTCTCGCAGTGGCTGGGTTTGAACTTGAACCCGAAGCTGAACTTGACGAGCAAGAACAGCAATCAGGCGGCCAGCCAGCAGCGCAGCGAGGCGCCCACGACGTCGAGATCCGCTCGCACCCACTGGGACCAGGAAGAGAAGAACGACGAGCGGTTCAAGCAGCTGCTCAGCGCCCAGGACAACGTTCTGAAAGGATCGGCGACGATCGGCCGGTCGATCGGCGCCGAGACGACGTTCGTTTACTCGAAACCCTCCGACATACTGGTCGAGAACGGTTCGGGCGAGAAAAAGGTCCAGGAGGTCGTCCCCGAACACCTGGCCGTGGTGCCCAAAGAGTCCAGGAGAGGCGGCCGAGCGTACAACATCCACCAGCACGTGAACGAGATCTGAACGCTCGCCGTTTCTCCCTTTCGACGCGTTCGATCGGAACCAGAGGATCGTATGTCCGTAGAGTTTAGGGTACCGCACGTAGACTGTATTCCCACGATGCGTTAGGAAGAGTTATCTATTATCCTCCCTGTATCTTCCCCCAGCTACCACTTTACCACTAGAACTACCGAGCGATTCACTCACGTCCGATTTCTTACGAAACGTTCGCGAAAACTCTGATTCTCCTGTCGGAGATACTCAAATTTCTCCGACGATCTTCCGCGAAAGCGTCTTCGCAGCTCGAAGACTCGCAAAACGAACATCCCGCGATCGGCCGATTCGACTCGTCCGGTGGTTCTAGTGCTAACGCGTGATTATTATTTATCGGATGACCCAACCGACCGGATGAATCGCCGGAGCGCCGTGCGAGTGCGAAGCTGTTCGCGCAGCGGTCTGTCGCCCTTGTGAAACGTACGTTGCACTCGATTATCGTTGGAGAATCGACGAGTCGAAGGATACCGTGGATCACAGCGAACGTGAAAGGTCACTGAAATGAAAGTTGCGGCGAAGTCGATCGCAGATTCAGTTTCGCCGCCGATTGATCCTTGGGAACGCGCACTTGCATAAGTATCCGCGGCGCGATCGTAACGGTTAAATAAGGAAATCCGCTCGATCGGGGTAAGAGGGCTCGAGTTTCATGAGACCGTTCGATTCGTTCGGCTATCCTGTGAGAACGATTCGCCTGTCGACAGATCGCCGCGCGTATTAGAGAGCTCGAGGCAGGGGTGGCCAACCTTTTCCTACAGACGCGTCAAATTTTTCATCTTTCAGCTGACACGCGGCTCGATTCGATACGAGTATAATAAAAGCGCGCGCTACGATCCAGCGACAGGCTAATCGCGTTTCACATCGCCCGAGAGATTGTCCTCGATTTTTCTTTGGGCTTCGACCATTTCCAATCGCGCGATGCGGTTGGCCACCTCTAGCTTAAGGGGTCGTTCACTTTCAGATTATTCTTATTGCGCAGCTGTAACGTCACGTACACCGGAAGCAACCTCAGAGCGAGAAGAAAGGGTTTCCTGTGTAAGGTTTCTCCGCTCTATATCCGGAACAAACATGCGAGAGATCGACTTCGATTTTCATGGATCCAGGGCAGTCTCGATCGCGAGGAACTCAGAAAATTCGGCTTCTAAGCGAAAGGTCTCTCGAGGGTTGTCGTTCGCGTGTTTCGAGGAAGCCGGAGAAAACGCGGCCGCGTCCGACCGAATGTCTCTCGCAATTGTGATCGTCCTTTTCCTCGTCACCGCGAGCGTTTCCTCGATTCGATGCGCGAATGGCCGTTCCTTTCCGTCGACTGGAGACAGTTGCTTTCTTTCGCTTTCCAGTAGGAATTGTTTCGCGAATGAAGTAGCAGCCGATTGGGAAGGATCGTGGACAGGATTCGGAAACTGTTCGTCGATTTTCGTGGAACAGTTTTGGAGAACCTTTATTCCGGATAACTGTTACGGACGAGATAGATTCTGAATCATACGAGTTTCCATGCTGCGATTGCGTTTAGCATAGTTTCGATTGTTGTAAGAATTAATTCTATAGAGTAGACCGACGCGATCGGTTCGAAATAAGAATGCATCTTCTGTTATTCAAGTGTAAGTGCTTTTATTCCTTGAACGTCAAAGAGAAGAAGATCCGATATCGATGCAGAACTTACAAAATAACGGTTAAGCCGATATAGGAACCGTAACTGAAAGCTGGACGATCGAAAATTTAGGTTCCTCGTTGCAGTCGTTCAGAATGAAAGTTCTCCGTAGCTGTTCCCACGAGAACCTTGGAATAACAGCTCGAAACAGTTATTTTCGGAGCTGTTCCAAGCCCCGATCGTGGGCGACGCGTGTTTCCTTGGGAGAGAACGCCGATCACGGTACTCAAATTGTTACGATCTATATTTATTTGCATTTCGAGCCCGCATAGCAAGTAGAAAATACAGTTAACATTACCGAGCCGTTCGTGAGCGCGCGATAACGCCGCGACGCGCTCGCGGGTACGCGTGTCGTACGGAAATGACAAGATTCACAGGGTTTCGTAGTCTTTCGTGATGCTTCGTCGCTTTGTAGGTCCGACCGTTTCAATGGACGTCGGAAATACGCGTGAAAGAAGGTGGGGATATTAAACTGTCAATAGTGGTAACGTTATAAAACACCAATAAATCTTTTCAGAACGAATATCGTCGTTGCGACATGAAATTCTCATATCTGCGATACAAAGTTGCGAACAATTGAATTCGAATAAGTACTTTAACACTAGAACTACCGTACCGGTCAAAATGATTTTTTTGTTTAGCAATTATTGATATTTTCAAAGCATTGAACATTCCAAATGATTCTGAAATTAAATAGTTCCACTTGAGTACTATAACGAATGTCTGAAGAAACTGAGAATAATCTATTACAATTTTTATAGGAAGTGCATATTAATCGTATTAAATGCTCGGTAGTGCTAGTGTTAAAGCGATCCTTATCCGCAGAGGGTTAAATCTCTGTGTCCAGCCTTGTCATCTCCGTACAATACTACCGTTGTCGGGAATCGGCACTCGGAACGGAGTGGTCAGAGTGATCCCTCGTGTTTCAGTTACGATTGATCATCGCGCGATTAACGAACAGCAGATTACTGCAGACGCATGCGAGAAAACATGCTTCCACTCTGACCAATTAGATGTTCATTCGCATTCCTTCCAAGTGCCGATTCCTCGGCAACGTGGCGTTGTCGACGGAGTTCATTCGCTTCAGCCGTTTTTAACTCGAGTTCCTGATCGAGTCAGCGGATGAGATCGTACGGGCCAATCGCGTAACGTCACAGTTTCACCGATCTTTATAACCGCCGATTCACTGTAACATCGTCGTAACGAGGAACATGGATCCAATAAAGCCGAAAAGAGGACAGTTCGATCGTTTCTCGTTGGTCTCGCGCCGCCTTCGCGTTTCGAACGGATTTCCGAATGTCTCCGTCGCGCGCGCGCCGTCCTCGCGCGTTCCGAATCGGAGTGATTAATTCTAACTTAATCCAACGCCGCCTCGATACCATGGAAGACAAAGAAAGTTGCTGCAAACGCGTTCTTCGTCCGCGATGCCGATTCCTCGTTCGAGGAGGGAAACAAACGAGAAGTGTTCGCGAGCGTGGCTCGCCACGCCCTCCGAAACGAGAACTGAATATAGAGTAGAGCGTCGATTATCCGAATAACGATCGTGCATCGATTGTCCGGAGCTAACGAATCGATTATCGGAACACGCGATGAATTACGTGTCAAGGGCACGCGATGATATTTATATTCTGTTGGTACGTTCTAATTGTATTCATCGATCCGATCGATTTTATGTTTGATTCTCCTCGTCGAAGTATCGGTTGTACATTGATCGTTGAAATGAATTTGATTTATTACTTCGGATAATCCACGGTCTACCGTACTCTCGCCGTTAGAATTAATTTCTCCGCTCGAGTCGCGGAATACGTCGAGGAATATTGAACGTCGCTGGGAACGCGACACCTTAAACTCTAATTAATGATCGGTCGCTTACGTTGGCTTCCTTGGCGCCTTGAAAAGTCGATATAAGAAATATATAATTGTATATATTTACGGGGTGTTCGCGTTGCAGCTAGCCAGCGTTTCTCTCGTAGCTGGTAAGTACCTATAGAGAAAACAAATGTTCACCGTGCGTTACGACAAACGACAGTTTCAGATTTCTAACTAGATTTAAAACGTTTTTCACTCGGAATACTGTATATTCTTTTTAGCCTTGATTGACTCGGTGACTTGGAATTCGAGGAATGCAAGGATCAGTGTGAACATACATGATAACATTGTATTTACCGATACGTCTTATCGATAAGGCCACTCGCGATCAATGCGACCGTCATCGTGGCGCTACATATCGCCGGAATGTTCTAGTAATATCGCTGCTATTAACACTGTATATATAACAGTGGTAAAAAAATGCATTCCCTCTAACGAGGATCGCAATCAGCAAGCAGCTTTATCGACAAGACAGTCGATTAAATCCAATGTACAAATTATTCCCTTGACTTCTAGCCGTGTTCGGTACTGGATGTAATTTTAATGTCATATGAAAAAATATACAGTGTTCAGTTTAAAAAAGTAAAAATTCGTGTCTTAGATTAACACACGCTACTACTATATCTTCGAGAAGTCACGCCAACTAAGAATAACGCGAACACTCGGAATATCACCATATACATATATGTTTACGCGCGCGCGCGTGTATATATATATTTTTTTTCTCGTTTTCATTTTCCCGACAATACAGTGGCGAAACGAAAGAAAATAAGAGGAGAATCGAGTGGATTGAAAAGTTTATCTCGAAACGAAGTATTACAGATGGACTAGATACTAATAACATTTCTCGCCTTAAAATAAACGCGTCTCGCTCGGTTCCGTGAAAATATATAATATAGTTCTATAGATATGCACTGTTCATCGTTTATCTCTTCCCGTCGCAAATCGTCTCGTAGTAAAAATATTTTTTGGGCTTCATCTTTGGGCGATCATCGTTAAACTCTATGTACGGTAGTTTAAAAAATAATTCGATCGTTGCCTCAGCGACAGCGTGGAGAACCCGGATCAGGCCATGCAAGATTGCAGCTTCGTCGCGGCATCGATCGTCGATCCGCCTCCGCGATCGACCGTCGAGGATATATATTCGTTGATATTCGTTCGCACGGTTCTCCCCCCGATCGTTCGATCCTCGTTCCTCCTTTTTACAAAAATAATTCCTCGTCTGTCAGGGAACCTTTACAGCGGAGCTGCGACACTCGATGAAAACGAGGTGGAAATATCTGCGCTTCACTGTAATATGCTAGCGTTAAATACAATTGCAATGCAATGCATGATATTTCGAAGATGATCACTAGACTGCGGATCTTGTGATGCACACGGTAAAGAATTGTAAAATATCAGAAGTATAGAGATTTTTCTTATGTCCCTCGGGGAAATCTCTGTCGTGGTCTTATTTTGTTAATTCTGTTGTTAAATGTTTGAATATCGCACGAGGATTTACAGTCTAATGATCACTTCTCGCTAGTTTCTGGAGGTTTCGGCAGGTCCGCTGTAAACGCGCCCTTAGTCGCTGAATCACGGGGTGAATCGTTCGAGCATCCCCTGTCCGTGTCCGTTTCGTTGGCTCCAACGTCGCGGTCGTTTATTAAAATATAGATCATTCGCCGTGGACAGCTCGAAGACCCGATCAACGTCTGGAAAAATACGTGCTCTTTTGTTTCGCGGAAGTCGGACACGGGAAAAAGTGACGGGAACGGGATCGTCTAGTGATCCCACTCGACTAATAGTGAACTCCGAAGATTATTTGAGAGAACGATTAAAAAGTGGCCCGATTAAATACGACGGTACATCGATTACGAATACATACACCACATTATAGGATTACATCGAATCTTTGTCTTCGTTCGCCGCTGCTCGCGCCCCTCGTCCGCGTTCGAACGACGAGCACCGGAAACACCGACGAATAGAGAAACTTCTTTCGAGTCGCTTATTTCAACGGTACAATGATATTTCTTAGTTCTTCAGTTTCGAACGTCGAAGCGGTTCGATTACACGCGCGGGTGTAACGCATTGGCACTGAGTCGTCGTCGACGAATTTCCCATCGCTGTCGGAATAAGGGCAGTGTTCGACGAATCTTCGAATCGTTACAACGGAAAGGAACAACTTTCTCGACCTCGTTCCCTTTGATCTTACGGCAGACACGTTCGAAACGCACGGATGTTCGACGCGGAAATTACTCTGGTGCATTTCCCTAACCAAAAGAATCCTCCAAAAAGGTCCCACTATCTTTCACGATTTTCCTGTTTCCGAGAGAACACAGGAAAATCTTCCCGATTTAACGTGAAACATATTTCAAATGTAAAATTCATTTTACGATCCAAAGGAGACGCACCGAGTGAAGTTCCGCATCGAACAACCCGAAACCGATCGTTTCGACTGGAAGCATCGCGGTGACACCGTTTCGAAATCGAAAGCAACCCGTGGAAGCTAGCCTCGGCTAGAACTCAGTCCCGCTCTTATTATTGCCAGCAATAATAAACGATATTGCTCGCAGCTGGGAAGCATCTGCGAAGCGTATGCAATTGCACTCGCGAAAGCCGAGAGGTTCGCGCCGGAAACGCGGCTTTCGCGCCCTCGCGCGGAATGTGGCAGCGGAAAACGCACGGATGTCCCTCCTCTCCTCTCGTTCACTGGACCTGTTGACGTGCCGGCGGGGCTGCGACCGGCGGCAGGGTCAGGGAGTCCCTTTTCTTCTTGTTCACGCGCCGGCCGACGTGCAGAACCACGTCCCCGGCTTTCACGGACTTGAACTCGGCGATCGCCTCCGCGTGCGTCATTCCGTGAAGAGGTTTCGAATTTATGGATAAAATTTCGTCCCCTGGAACAACGTTCGCCGGATACCGTTACCTGTTTCGCAGCAGTGAAACCGATCCGATGGAAAGTTTACGCCGCGCGGAGCAGAATTCGCGGTGTGCCTCGAAAACAATCGTTCCGTTAATTACCGAACTGCGGATTCTACGCGTATCGGACGGAGCATCATGAAACTTTAATGCGTTAACGTTGTACCGAAGAATGTGAATTTCATTTGTTTCTCGTTGAAAAACACGATTAAGGCCGGCGTCTGAATTAAACGAAGCAAGTAGAAAGTGAGGAATATCTTCGTTCGATCTTTCGTATTCAAGTGTTTTCGGCGGATCGGTTTTCAGGGTGGAATGTGTACCTTCTTTGACAGTGCCGAGGTCGGCGGCCTGCCCGTTAGGGAAGACCGTCTTCACGTAAATCCCCATGTTCCCACGGGGACTGTCCGTCCCGCCGACGATACTGAAACCGAGTCCCTTGTGCCCGGGACCCTTGTAGAATCTGGCAGTCAGTATCGTGAATGACGCGCCACCCTTGCCCGGCCTGGGCAGGGTGCAGAACCTCGACTCTTCACCCTCGCCAGCTTCGTCGATGTCTTCGAGTTCGGAGTCGGTGTTCAGGCCTTCGTCCGTGTCTTGCGTGCCCTGCAACGGAATCCACGGAATAGTCAGTCGATCTCGATAACAGGAATCCTGTCCACGATGTCGAGCAAACCGTTCAAATATATCTTTAACACGACCGCCACGTCACCCAAGTTCCGGTGACACCATTATTTACATAAACCGAAACAATTTTCTGCTGACGCATCGAACGAGCCGAACTCCGTTCGATGTATCAGATATAAGAAAGATAGAGCAATCGTTACGAAAAGTCTCGAATTTTCAGTTTCCGCTCGATTAAGGAAATAGTTGCAGAGAAATGTCGACGATTACTTGGCAGTCAAAGCGTAAAAACAGCTCCCTAACGATTAGTATATTTCGATGATAATTCAGTAGCTAGAAGAGACGGAACGAAAGCGACAGTGCGAGTTATTCACCGCGAGTGCGATGAATGCATGAAATGCGCGACGCAGTCATTACGTAAATTGTCCATCGAAACCGAAAGCTAATGAGACCCCCGGAAGACTTCGGAACAAGGTCGAATCGAACGAAGCTCGATTATCATTAAATGGGAGCCAGGTTCGAAGCATTCCCACATACTAAATAATTGGCCGAGTTTGAAAAGCAAATGCGCTCGAAATTCTTCACGCGGTGACGCGCGCGCGGGTAGCCGAGACGGTTGGGAGCTCACCTGCCAGGTCTTCAAACCGGAACCGGAGGAACTGGGTATGTTGGCGACGCTTCTGCTGTTCAGTCTCCTGGTCGTCTTCTTCCCAGGACTCTTTTCAGCTCCCAAACTGGACGGGCCGTCCTCCTTGTTCGCGCAGCCGGTCCCAGGCCCGTTCGAATAGTTGCTCACCTGTCCGCCGACTTTGAAGTCGGTCACCCTCTTTCTGGGCGTCACTCTCGGTATGTGGATCTCGTCGAACGCCGGCTCCGATTGATTCCGAGCCTTCCCGTTCTTCTGGAAGTGCACGTTCTCGTACGAGTTGTGGTCCCTCGTCTCGGAGTTGCTTCTCGCTAGATGCCTGTCCGACTGGGGACTGGTCACCGCTGATGAGGTCAGCTCCGACCTGTGATCAGTGATCGGTTATCGAGGCTTCGATCGTCTCGAGTACCTACACGCGACGGAAAATTCGAATCGCAGGATTCGATTTCTCCGACTTTAAGACCTCGGGGGTTCAAGATCTCTAACCCTTTGCACTCGAAAGTTCACTAGAAATATTCGATATTCTTCGATGAGATGCAGATGTTCTTTGAAACTAATTAACGAGGAAAGTTATTTTATTTCAATATTCCATATATTGCATCATACAAAGCTTAATATTATATAAGACTTTATAATTTTGAATCAAATCAAGTGGTGATTGAGTCAGTCTCGAGTGCAAAGGGTCAACCCTTTACTCCATAGACGCCTCATTCAAATAGAATAGCCTCTTTAATTTATGACTGTCTCGTCAAGCTAGTTTTAAAGATTGTTGACTATACTTCGTCAGAAAGTGCGTTGGACGCTAGACTCTTGGAGTGCAAAGGGTAAAGAGCTTCGAGACACATCGAGACAGTCAAGAGTCTCGAGGACAGGACAGCTTCGAAACCGGGATTCAAGTGTGTATCGCTACCTGTGACCCCGCTGGTAGCGCACGTTCTCGTACGAATGCTCGTGATGCCTGACCGTGTCGCGGTTCTCCGAGTTGCTGCGCTGCAACACGCCCCTAGACCTGGGGAAGCAGCCGGGCGACGAGCCGCCGGCGTACACCACGTTCTCGTATACGTCCTTGTGGCTGTGGTCGTGCCCGAGGACCGGCGAGTCGTACGCGCTGCTGTTCTGGGAGTACGTGAACGTTTTATTGCTGTTGGTCAGCGGGCTGCTGCAGTTCGGCGAGTTCGGCACGCTGCCCTCCGCGAGGGTCTCCAGGTTGTCCTGGAACGGGTACGGAGGCAGGGAAGTCGGCTCGCTGGAGTCGAAGTAGTCGCCCTCGAAATTCTGGCTGGACGACGAGGTCAGAGGACTCGGCACGTAGAAGTTCGACGAGTTGTCCTTCTGCGAGAACACTTCGGTCACGCTCAGAGCCTTCCTCTTGCGGATCCCCGCGTTTATCTTGCTGAACTTGCTGCGCAGCACGTTCTGGATGTCCGCTATGCCTTTGGTGGTGCCTGAACGTTAACAACATTCCAACAAACTGATTAGACTCGTGGTGTTTCGCTTAACCCCTTGCCGTACTTTAACGAGTTCGACTCGCGACAGAAATTTTCGACCAAACATAAATATCACGAGGCAGAGTCGAGGTGACGACACGAGTGAGGTATCGGCCGCCATAATTATGGCGCGGATTTTGCGCGGTTAAATGGCGTGGCAAGGGGTTAAGAAAACGTTTGCTCAAATAAAGTTGCTCGCGATACTTCGATTGGCTCACTCGGAGTGTCGGCGATGATTATTTTCGTTATACCTTTCACTAGACTCATGGTTCAGGGGTTGACGCGAAAGGTCACTAAATATTTCGACCCCACTGTGCGTGGGCGATCTTCTCTCTCCGAATTTATGTAGTAACTTAAACGTAAACACGCTTATATACACGATATATAAAGCGTATACCCTTTACATAGATCTCAAACAATTCCATAGTATTGTTATCAGAATCAAAGATCTTCCACCGACTCAATAGAAGTTACACGCGTGATTCGATACAAGAATCCGTTCGTAAAAGGACTTTTCTAACGGCGATACACTTAGCACAGGACAATTTCGTTGGAAGATCTCACCTGGCAGTCTCAGAGAACTAGTCTGCAGCAGCTTCTTCGGTGAGTTGCCGTCCTGAAGGCTCTTCGCGGCCGGGGAGGACTCCCTGCTAGCCGGGCTGGATCTCACCGCTTGGATGACCCCCTGGGTCGTTCCGCCTTGTATCAGAGCTTCCTGAGGCTCGGAGGTTTCCTGCACGGAACACCTCCTCCTCAGCTTCCTCCATCGCTGGCTGATGCTCTTGTTCCATAGATTCAGGTCTGCGGGGTAACAGAGGCAAAAAGTCCCGGATGAGTTAACGGGCTGGCAAGAACGCGCGTATCCTATCTCTCCGGAAGCGGCCGCCGCTAAAGGGGCTACCATCGAACGGAACGTAAGTAACCGCGTACACGCACGCCCAGGGAAAAGAGGAAAGAAAGACGAATCGTTCGTTCGAATCGTCAGGCTGAATGACAGGAAGCATTTATCTGTTCGCCGAGCGAGGTGGAACGCGGCGCGTTGTTTGTTTACCGAAGATAAAGCCGGACCTCGGGCGAAAGGAAAGAGAAAAAGGCGTGTACCGAGATCCACGACGATAACGGGCTGTGCGTGGAAGAAAAATCGCTCGGACCGTCGGACGGTTTGCAACGTTCGCAGTGGAATTAATCAACGGATCCCAGCGACCTGCTCCTGATATCCTCTTTCGCAACCGGGGACACAGAGGATTCTTTGAGAGATTCAATAAGTTGCTTTCATAACACGCGGACTAAGGCAACAGTCAATCGAAACCTCGAAGCACTGTTACGGTTTCTGTGGAAGCATCGGAGGAAGTCGTCTGCTCGTTAGTTGCAGCGTTAATACTGCGCTCATTTATTCTATTTATCCTATCGTTCAGAAACTTCAATCTCCATTCGAATCTCGGAAATTAGAGCTGAATAGACGAGAACACGTTTACCATGCCTACAAAATTCACGCGAATCTAGCGTTAACCGCGCGACGAAAGTGACGCGTCGAGAGCGTCACCATCGAAAACATTCTAGATAACTTTTAGTCAGCTGATTACAATTCAATATAGTCTCCATCTTGGCGGAGGATCCACGTGGCGCCGAGAGACTTCAGTTCGAATCCTGTTACCGCCGTATTCCGCTCCGAGTGTCGGCTTCCTCTTCCTCGTCGCGGGGTAGTTCCGGTGACCTTGCGGGATGCACGCGCATAACCTGCTCCCGGCGGTTCCGTGTTCCTCTCCCGTTCGGTCTCGGCTGCGTCGGAAAGTCAGCTGTCCATGAATTATTGATGAACGCCGATGACGGGCCCGAGGGGTCACCGAGTGCACGCTCGACGTCGGTTCGGTCAATTACGGTTGCAGCCGCGGTGCCGTTTCTTCCACGCAGCGGACGGGATCGTTTCTGGCCGACGCATGCTGACGGGACGGTGCATCACGGGCGCGGCGACGATGACGAGGACGGGCAACGCGGAAAATCGGGTGGCACGACGGCGTCGTTGCCCTCGGCGGTCGTTGCGGACGCACTGGCCCGTCGGCGCCGACCGCGCTCGCCATTATCCGGAGTTACAGTCATCTTGCAAAATGCACTTTCACTTCTCGATGTATCTCCGGATGCGCCCGGCTTCGCGAGGCCTCTTTCGTTCCGCCGCCGCCGCCGCCGCCGCCTCCGCCGCCACCGCCGCGGCCGGACGTTACGCTCTTTCCTCCGATTATTAATCAGCGTTTGTTGGTTAACTGTTCCTTTCCTTTTTTCATGCTCTCTCGATGCCTTCCGCGCGACACTGACGACGCTGTGGTATTCTAATTGCCTCGGGAACGTTCTCATTCGATCTTTCGGAGCTGAAGCGCCAAGTTCGACGCCCGATGGAGTGTTCTCCTCTGTTTCGATCGTTTCTTCCTGATATCGACGGAGCAGCGATGCTCTTTTTCCTTCGAGAGCGTTTTCATTTGACCTTCCGGAACTGGAACGAGGTCGATGTTTAATGAAGGATCTTCTTCCCGTTTGATTTTTCTCAATCTCAACGATCTCGCTTCGAGACTGCTTTCATTCGTGGCTGAAACGTCAAGCTCGATGTTTACCGAACGATTTGGAGCAGACTCCGCGCGACCTGTTCCGCGGTGTCCAGTGCCATCCTTCGTCGGTCGACTCGAAATGCGCGCAACTCGATCGTTAGCCGCAATCGAAATCCGCGGCGCGCGTCCGACGGCTAACCGGAATCGCTGCTATTCATTATCGGTTTCATTGTTGCGGAAGAACGAGCGAGCGAAGCTCCAGGATCCCGAGCGAGACCGATATTTCGACGCGGAAACGGCTCGTCCGGCGTGGCCGTTAATTAAAATTTGCCGGCATCGGCGAGCTCCATGCAAATGACCATCGATCGCGCGGGGATCTCGCCTTGAGCGGATCCAGCAGAAACACCGTCAAGGACGGGCGGGTTCGTTCCGTGTCGATCGGCGCGCGATCGTTCCGATACGGGTCCGATTAATCGTTCGATCGATTAACGATCGTCGCGTTGAACCGCGTTTCTCGGTATCCTCACAGCATGTACCTCGAGAGCTTGTAGCCGTCCGGGTGCACGAGCATTTGCAACTCGAAACGGAGCATTTGCGCGTAAAAGTAGAAGAACCCGACGATGTACGCCAGCATTTTCGTCGACGAACGTCCAGCCGATGAAGCCGCGAGTCGAACGGACCGAACGGAACAGAGTCGTTTCAACGGAACGGGGAAACGTCGGGGAAACTCGTAACGATGCACCGCGGCGACGCGAACGCCACGCTCGAACCGGGATTTCGGAAACCGGGGAGTCCACACTGCACGCGGTCCCGACATGAACTGAAAGACTGGAGGTTTACGGTTGGCCGTGTGCGTAAGGCATTACGTGCGTGTGCGTAACAGAGTCTGCACACGTGTGCGGCCCGTACCTGTGCATACAGGGTGACGCGCGAGAAACCGTCCAACGGTCCCCCATCCCTCCGACGCGAAGCGACGCGACGCGGCGCGACGCTTTTCGTGATACGAATTCCTCGCATAATTCTCGAATGACACGCGAGGAATTCCGTTTCTACCGATATCCTAGCGTCGTCCTGGCGCGACGGCCCCTGTCCAAAAGTGCTTCCCGTTGTCGGGCTTCGAGTCATCGCTCGGAATCTGTTCCGAAACGCATCTGTTGTACCGAAGTGTAGAAACGTCGAGGAAATTGGTCGATTGTCTGCTCGATGTTCGAGTGTCTTGCAGCGTGCAATTGAGATTATGTTATGTTTCGATGAATAGAAGCAAGTCGAGCAGACAGAGTCGACACGTTAGAAGTCTACGCTGCGAATTAGCTCGTCGCGGAAGGAAGGGTCGCATTAATTCATCAAAACGCAGGAGACGTTCGAAAAAGCAATCTCAGAAATCCGTCCCTACCGAACGTTCCAGCATCTCTATTGTAATGTCCAATTGAGAATAATTAGTCCAACGCGCGACGTGAATTGAGATGAAATTACGGTATGCCACGGTGAATTAAAGCAACCCGAATACGCGGAATTCCGGCGTTAAGAGTCTGCGAATTGGCTCGGCGCGGAGAGCGTGTTCCTTAATTTATCGCAGTACAGAAGCCTCGAAAATCCGTCCCCCAAAATATTCGAGCATCCCCATTGAAACATCCGATCGAGAATAATTAATCCAACGCACAAAGCAGATCGGGACGGCATTACATCGTGACCCGCCAGCGAATCAAACCAGCCCGAATACGTTGGATTCCAATGTTAAAAGTACAATCACTCCCTCCACAATGGGAACCTTGTACTTTCAACGGAGTCGTTTCAAAAACCCCACTGTGTATGCGTTTGACGAACAAGCTTCCCACTCAAACTCCATTCAAACCGCACAACTGTTTCATTTCATTTCGTATTTGAAGCGTTCCCGCTCCGCTCTGCCCGCATGCCGCGCCCGCTCCTCCGCCGCGCGGGTCCGCGTTTTACAAGAAAACCCGGCGGCTCCCTTTCTTCGTTTTCCATTTGATTTTTCTTCCCGGTTCACCGTGTATGTCACCGACGTGGACCGATTGTGTACTGATTGTGGGAACCATTCGCCTCGTGTTGGTGAACGGTTTCTCCTCTTTTCTCCCTCCCTCCTCGCGTGTTCCCCTCTTCGCCTCTTTTTCTTGCTCGTTCACACACGCGTACACGGGCCGCGCCTCGTACTCGCGTTCGCGAGGGTAACGGGCGCGTGTGTGCGTGCCTATTAGTGTGCATCACGGCTGCGTGCACACCCTACATGCAATTCTACTCGTGCGCCTCATGGTCAGGGCGGGACGCATTATTTTCTGCAATAATGCGAATGAGCGTTCTTTGTGCGGGTTCCTGCACACGGAGGTGGACACGCGCGCGGCCAGGGACTCGAGGATTTTCGAGCGACCGGCCGAAACTGCGGAACAGAGAAAGGTTACGGCCGGAACGGGGGGAGATAATCGCAGAGAGTTCAATAATCCGTCCCGCGTCGCCTATTGCCGGGCCCACGGATCGTTTGCATATTGTTTTCGTAACGGTACCCTCGATTTTCCGGGACCCGCCGCGTGCGAATCGCCGATAGAGATCGATCCTGGGAACGCGGTTCGACGCGTCGACTCGGAGTGCACGGGGAATTTCAAAAAAACACGAGCGATGCGTTCGGTGAAACGGAAACCGAAGTGTTGTATATACTGTGGCGATCGATGTTTCGAGCTTTTCGAAGTTCCCGTGATGTCTCGGAAGTCTCCGTGTTACCGAATGTTTGGAAAGCGCGCGTAGTAAAATACAAACAGCGACAGATCGTTTTCATGGGATAGTACGAGTAAGGAAAATTGTAAACTTTTCGCGTTCCGTAATGACTGCGGTAACTTTCCCCTAATTCCCACTCAGGTTAACGACAGGCCTACGTGTACCACAAATACGCCAGGCACAGCTGTACGGTGGACAGTACGCGGCACGGGCGAACTAATGACTGCTAATAATCACGATGACTCAATCCCGCGCGGTATTTACCATCTCGAATTATCTGTGCCTGCGCGGGCCACGTAAAACGAGAAGCGTTTAAAGAGAAACCATCGATTTGTTTACAGACGCGAAGATGCCGGAGGGGGACTATTTCTTAACCCCTTGGCTACTGCGGAATTTTGCGTCATTGCTAAGAAAATGTACTGAAACCATGAAAACACTGTATTGAACTATATAAAATCAATCTAAAGTTATCAGATTTATATAATGTACGACTAACAGAAGATGCGATTGTTGAGTTTGAATTTACTTACGTCAAATCTAAGCCAGCTTCGCTGCAATTATTGTTAGTAATATTTCACGGCCAACGGTACACGGTAACTAAATGTTTGAAACACCTTTAGGCGCCAACGGTAGCCAACGGATTAACTAGTCGAACGATTCGCTGAATCGTTGCCTTTTAGAGACTTTTTCCCAGGCAGCGAAAAACGCGATGGCGAACGGTGAACGTGGACGTTTCAAGGTTTCGGTTGGCCGCGAGTTTCCACGGACAGGGCACGCCGATGAACGGCATCCATCATTCCAGCTTGACCCACATTCCATTGAGACCTTTCGACCTGCATTCCGCGTGCGTTGAACGCGATATCCTGCGCGATTAAAAACGGGATGCCCCCGAACGGGGCTCGTCCTGGGCTCGCAAACCGCCTGCCGACCGATTACCGATGATCCGCAGCTGCGACGAAAATGACGCATCGCGACGATGCGACGCGACGCGGCTCGGCATGCAGAATCAGCCAGGCGCGTCGTTCGCGCGATAAACAACACGGTTTACATAATAAACGCGGATGGATTTTATATTCCGCTCCTTCCCGAGGAGCAGAGATCATATCTCGCGTATTCAACGCTTTGCGCTCGAAAGATTTTCACTGGAAGTATTCAACATTTACCAATAAGATACGGACGACATTCTTCGGAACCGACTAATGAGACTTTCGAACTTTTACGATCGGATGTTTCAAGAACGGGGAATTATAATGTGTATTGGCATGATAGCGTCAGTCGGAATAGTTTCAAACTGTCGCCAAATAATGTTTAAAACGTTTGATATCCGTCGGATTGACGGTTTCGTGAATCCAGTGTTAAGAAACGAAGCTATTTTGTTTCAATATTCGAAATATCGATGCATCGTGCAAAGGTTAATATTGTATAGAAGACTATATCGAATCAAGTGGCTGAGAGTGACCTCTCGAACGCAAAGGATTAAATTAATTTCCCTCCTCTGCCACTGAGCTCCGTTAAATAGACCTAATCGGTAACTTCTTCTGCGTATCCAGCTGATTTCTCGAATAAACCGATCGCTAAGCTGCGATAAAGTCTCCGTCTTTTCGTCGCAAGCCGAATACAACTCGATTTAGATTGGATCGAAGTATAACGCAACGTTCTCGACACTTTCGTGCAACGTAGGTCGAGTCCACGCGACGACACGGTGGGATACAACGCATACATTTGAAATTTAGGAGTGCAGAATTAATGAGATGTCGTCATGCCTGCTAATGCGAGCGTGTGGCGCGATTGTCACGCGACGATTGTTTGCAAAATGGAAGAAACGTCGCAGCGAGGAAACGGGGACGCGTGACACGGCGAATATCTACCATTTAACACGTCTGGTATTAAGAGCAGTCTGGTTAGAGCTGTCGGTGCGCTCCGAACAGTCGAGAGTAACCGGAGAACAGAAAGTACTCGTAGACAAGTTCGCGTATCAAGTTTCGATGCAATCAATTCAAGTTCCGGTGAACTCGCAGGAGTAAATTAATTCGCGCAACGCCCGGCATTCCGCGCGCACTGACAAAAACAGAAATTCGCCCGAGGATTTCAGAGCCGCTAAGAGCAAAAGCGAAGGCGGCAAGAAACGCGAAGCCCTCCTTTCATAATTAGCAATTACGACAGTGATCCCCCGCTCTTCCGACCACCCTCCCGCTCGGAATCAATTAAACAATAAAGCCGGCTTGCGAGAGGCTCGAGCGGAAGTCTCAACTAACGTAAACTGCCAGCTCGCTGCTCGATCCGTTGTGCGAACACCTAACCGTTCAAAGAGTTCAAGAGTTCACGCGATCGGCGCGGCGCGGAAGCCAGATGATTCGGTACGTAATTCGGTGACTGCATATATTTTTATCGCGGAAATAATGAGCTTTCCATGGAAAAATCGCGCGATTTCTACACGTCGATCACTGGCAGGAACGATTCGACCGGTTAGCGATTCACGAGTACACGCGTCGCGATGGCAATGTTGTGTTCGACGAGTACATTCGTCGCGAAGAAATGGCAATGTTGTGTTTGACAAGTATACTCGTCGTTTGATTTTCGCGGCTCGGTTCGGGTACACAGTTTCCGCGGAGGTCAGCGCAGCTAACTGGTTAAAAGACACGCACGCACACGTGCGAGCGAAAGGGTGAGGGAATGCTCGGGTGTGTCGGTGGCACGGACACGTGGGAGGGAATACGCGCGAGAGTGTTTCGATGACTAACTGACACGCCGCGCGTGAGGTCAAGCTGGGAGAATGTTTCTTCTATTGCTCATTGTGTCCCGGGGCCTTCTGGGTCTCCGTCGCCGCGTCGCTCCGCCGCTATCGACTGCCGGGGAGCTCGTTCAATCCAGCGGATAGGCTGATTCTGATGTTAATTCGTTTGTCCGCCTTTGTCCCGGCCGCCGTCCGCCGAAGGCAGCCGTGGGATTTCCAGTTTTCGTCGGAGAACACGTGCACGGAACCTGGTAGCCGTGTTCTCTAGCCCGCGGACGGGAATTTCTCGAACCTTTGAGAACCCGCCGTCAAACGTTGAATTGCGTATCGAAGTCTTAACTAGCAGAGAAGAAGGAAACCTCGTATCTACTTCTGATTATTCTCGCTAAATTCTTTAGAAGCTTTCGATTTTGGAACGAAAGCTCGAAGTTATGACGACGTTCGACGGAAGGCTAAAAGCACCGATGCCTTCGGATCGGCGAGCGTTGCTCGAGCAACGCGACGCGACCGTCGACGTATCGAAAACAGATTACCGAGTCATCAACCCAGAAAGGAAGCATTGACTCGAATGCGCTCCGATATAGAGCATGCCCCGAGATTAATCTCGGGGACCCCGGCGAATCGAGCGTAGCCCGTGGATCCGTTTAACAATTTCCTCGACATGGCGCGACACAGTGCCGGCGGTGATCAGATTCCGCAAAACAGCGAGCGGAATGGCCGCCGGGCGCAGCGGGAGCATTCTTCTTGCGCGCACGTCAACGCGCCGAGCCGAAGACGTTTATTCAAAGAAGTGGACGTGCCGAGTGGCGCGAACGGCCAGAAAAACTTGCGGCGCACGTGTGCGTGTGTGTGCGTGTGTTTCGAGGATAAGGGACGGAGGACAGGAAAATGCGAAGGGGGAGCGGCGGCGGGGAGGAAAGAGAGTGGGACCGCGACGGGAAAGAGGGAAAAGGGGCCCTCGTAGATATACAGTCGCAGTTGGGAACGCGCAGCCTGTTGCCCGCGAGGAATGCGTAAACGGTAGAACCGTTTTGTAAGTGGCGAGAGAGAAAATGCGCGCGGTGCTTGAATGCACCGCGAGGGACACCGATGAAAAACCCCGAGCGTTCCTCGGCGCCGACTGGTTAAACGATTTCGACAAAAACCGCGAATACCGCGCTCGCGCGCCTCGTCTACGCAATTTTCTTCGCCTTTCTTCTTCTTCTTCTTCTCCTCCTTTCCTTTATCCTTCTTCCTTTCCTTCGTCTCCTTATGTTTCTAAATCTCCTAATCTCGTTACTAAAGGGCTACCAGCTACTCGCTTTTCCTGGTTTCAATCAGTCATAGTCTGTGTAAATACTTCTGTGTCATCGTTCATTCCTCATCATTTGTATAGAAACTATTACTTGTTAAGATCATCCTTGTGCGTAGAACAAGGATCTACCGGGAAGCCTTATTGATGAGTCTGGTAGATCTTGGACAACGTAATCTATTACCTTCTTCAGATATTCCTTCCTACTAATCATGTGTTACAGAATGCGTCTTCATTCTTATTCCTCTTCTTCTCCTGTTTCTTCTTCTTCTTCTCCTTCTTCTTGTTCTCCGGACCGATTCCGCTCACGTACGCCCCGTTTTTAATTATGCCCCCGAACGCAGAGGAGCGAGGTCGCATTACCCTCTCAGACTTCTTCTCGCCGGCTGGCTTGTTCCGTAATTTGCGGGTACTCGCGCGATTTTCGCGCGACGCTGCGTCAGAAATTACCGAGGGTGGGCGTTTCGCCGGCTTCCGGTTCCATTCGGCGCCAGCCCGACACGCGGGGCCCGGCGAATCCGCCGAGCGTTCGTATTTTTCTTTTCTCGCAAGGCCAATGACGCGGTCCGCCGCGGCGCCTACGATAGTATATCGCCAGTTGATAGCGTATCCGCGTCTTTTAGGAATATCTGTGTCAAACAACTGTTACCTATGAACTTCTACTAGGGAAGCTGGAAAATCTGTTCGTGTTTCAACTCTTTCGCGGTCGAATGTCGTCGCAACGGCGACTCCGAGTTTTCGTATGTAAAATCGCCGACTGCGAATGAGTAATTTGATTATTCAAATAGCGGGAGATCGATACGTGGCTCTTTCCTTTTAATACTTCGGATTTCGGAGCGTAATTTAACGCTCCATGGAACGAGTTTTTAAATTTTCGGTCGGAAAGGGTCAAATCCATTAATCCCAATATTTCGGATCCACGGCAATACACGTTTCAACGAGGGAACAGATAAGATAGTTGGAAGATAGAGGAAACATATAGGCATCGGAAGGTTGAAACTCGGATATTGCGTCATCGGTTAAACACGGTTATTAGTTTTATAATCGAGTTTAGGTTTCGATCCAGAGGTTTCATAATGGAAACGTTAGGAGCGGATTTCTGTTGCATGTCGGGAATATTTCAGTGCTCTCCGTAATACACTCGGGTCTATTAGGACATAGACGAAAGAAAGTTCAATATACGGCGCTAGCCATCGCCGTTTTACATTACACGCGATAACGAGGCGAGCGTGCCTTAGAAAGTTCACATTCTGACATTATTCAGTGCGACCTCGCGAGGAAAAGACTTACTTAACTCGTTCGAAGATATTATCTTATTAACCGGGCTCTCCGTTCTGCTTTGTCTTTCATATTTATTAGATTTCTTACTCGATACACCGGTAGGAAGACAATAAATACAAATGGAATTAAACGATCGACATACAACGAGCTTTGGATCTCGATCGCGTAGATCGGCAGTGTCCTCTGCTAAATACTCGAAAGGTTCAACCATTAGATCACTGCGTTACAGACCAAATATGCAACTTGTGGATTTGTTTTTAAAAATGTTGCTCTTTCGATTTATCGCACTCTATGGTATTCTACGAAAAGGTAAGTGTTTACGTAAATTTCAAGCATAGCTTCAGAATTCTCCGCCGAGAGTTTCCATCAAGTTCCACGCGAAGGGAAGACAAATAAATAAACCGAGCGTTGATGTCGATAACAATGACACGGGAACAGAAAGGCGTCGATTTCCGGGCGCATTATGCCAGCGACACGCGGTCTCCGCGTCGATGTCACTCCCGCAGCCGGCAGTTTTGTCAGCGGTGTGAATAGTACGGAACGTGTTCGCGGAATAATCGGCTAACTGTACGCAGACAATGGCGGAGGCCACTCAGTACGCATCGTTGATTCCAATTATGCAAGGAGTTCTCAACTTGGCGCCGTGGCCGTGGTTCCACGACCGTGTTCGCGCATAATCGAGCCCCTTAGGGCACTCGGGTCCCCTAATTCCACGCGTTCGACCTTTCCGACCCCGGCTCAAATTGAAATTCATTACCGGGGAATATTTATTGCGGGATATAAATATTTGACTTTCAATTTACCCGCTGTTACATCGGCGACATTGACTTCACATCTTCCTTGTTTTCCCTCGTCGAGACGCGACTCTCGGTCACCGCTAGATCCTAGCGAAACTATAAAGTTCTATGCAGAATTTTAACACTAAACTGGAACCCATCAATTTCACGGATATTGAATTTTCTAAACATTATTCCGTAACGACTCGATACACCTTGTAATTCTTTGTTCTTGAAAGTCTAATTGCCTCGACCTATATGAGACATGTCTTCTAGAACCAATAGAATTAAATGTGGAATAAATCGAGCGTTAAGCTTCGTGTGACAGCATCGTGACGCGAAAGATTGAAATAAAACAGCCTCGTTTCTCAATCGCGCGAAGGGTTAATTGCACCCTTTCACGCGTCAAACAGCTGCCATTAACTACTAACAATATTCGAAAAAATAATAACCACCCGACGACAGCGTCGAAGTGGGACAACGTACAATTAACCGAAGCGCTCGAAAGCGTTACGCTCGGCGCAGGTAAAAGAAAAAAAAGAGGAGGATTTCCGTTCAGTCGTCATTGAACTACCGAGCGCTTACACGGTCGAAGAGGAACATGCGTACAACATTTTCATTGTTCCCGCGCCAATGCGCGGACGGTAGCCCGTGGCTAATGAGAAAGTAACGACAACCGTCGACATTAACCGCGCGGATAATAAAATAACCATCATTCGAGGGCCGCGTGTGCGTGTCGCGGCGCACCGAAACGGCCGCGGACTTTTATGGAAAATTACATTTCCGTCCGAAGCTGTTGCCCGTTCCTCGCGAGCATCGCCATGACAACGAAACTGTTCGTCTCTGTGTATACATAAGCGGTCGCTATTATTTCGGTCGAAAAACTCGATGCACGGTATAGGTCCGTTCAAAATTCTCTCCTAATTTGTTTATTTGTTTATAAAGTCGAATTCCTTACTCTCTTCCGTAAGTTAGAAATGCTGGTTGAATCGATGTTTAAAAATTTATCAATATAATCACCGTCGCGTTTTTAGTAGTTGAAATTTAGCCGGTGTTCAATGTGTTAATAACAGAAGAATAATTGATCGAGAGACCTAACCGATAGTTTGTATCGAGCCTAAAGTTCCCCAGCTCGGTTCCGATGTTTCTGTGAAAGGTCACGTAGCATCGACAGCCGAGCCAGATTCGTAAAATCGGCGTACAAAGCTCCGTTGTCGTCGCCTGTAACCCAGAGGCTGTGCTAGATCTCGAAAATATCGGGAACTCGTTGAGATATCGAGGAACCAGCATCGCCTCCAAGAAATCTCGATCGCAGCCCTGCGACCGCTAAGGAGAATAATCGACGGTGAAGCGCGAAACGGATTCCACGGTCAGTCTGCGCGACGAAGCGAAAATCGGGCATTCTTGCGTAACCGAGCGCGCCGATCGAAATTTGCATTGAAACGCGCCGGCGAGCGAGTCCGGAACGTTCAAAGGGTGAACGAGAAGTCGGGGCCGGCCGGTTTTCATCGGCCCACGGAGCTGTAAATCAGTTTCGCGAGCGCGACGTTGACCTTTGGCTGGCCGAGCTCTGAATTAAAGTCCCGGCGAACCGGACAAAGGTCCGGGGAACGCGCAAATTATGCACGGGCGCGCAACGCGTGACGCGAATGCCCGCGGATACCTTGTTCCCCGTTTCCGGACGAATTATCGCGGCCTCCGGCAGCGCGCTTTCTCGGTGGCACCGTTAGAATCGACGCGACGACGTGTCGCGTAAATATTTATGAACCACCCCCTTATCGCGCCGGCGGTGTCGCGTGTGTTGCGCACGATAGAAGAGGAACGGGAAACGGCGCGGATGAGGACGAGCGCGGAGGCTAACGAGCATGCGGCGGACCTTGATGCGAAAGCGAACTTTGTTAAAGTGATTTAACACTGGAATTACCGGGTAGGTTAAAATTACCTGTCTCCGAAGACTTTTTTGCTGGGGAGATGACGCTTCGCGATGAGACCACTGGAGAAGCGAATCGCGTTGAAGGATAGGGATTAAATTGGAATTTCTTCGAGAACCTGAACGAATCGAGAGTAATTCTGACATTCTTAGGTCAGTTATGTTACGAGGTACTTTGTAACTTCGTGTGCCAGTTTTTATACGCAGTTCGCATATTTTGTTACCTGACGATGCGTTTTTGTGCTGTTGCGAAAGGATCGATGCACGTTGTGCGTTATGATTGAATTCAATTCAAGATTCAACGCGTTTCCTCTTTATTTTCAGCGAGAATTCAACACCGTTGAAACGTACTCATCCTTCGCGCGGCGATGTGCGTGAATTACAGCGCTGTTAAGTAGTTAACGAGCATCGCCGCTGGTGTCAACGTTCGCTGACCAAAGAACAGGATCATTCGACAGGAAGTGCTATCTTTCTACACCGAATTTCAATCAGACGGAACCGGCGACCGGCGCGGCGGTTCGCCACCCGTATCCGGTCAACGATCGATCGCACGATCCCGATGGAAACGCGTCGCCGCTTACCAACAACCGATTACATCGCCGGATAGAAAATGGATAACGGTGCTGTCCGGAATGCGCGAAATTTCCTTGGGTTCCAGGCGACAGCCGGGTTCAAACGCCTCCCCGCGGGCCTCGCGAAACCTGCGAGCACTTTTATTGCCAGAAGTCAAACGGCTAATGCGCTTAGTTAGCGTGTTTACTTAGTTCAATGCGCAAATTGAATTTTACGCGTTGCGTGACGGACAATTCAGTAGCCGCTCACTCTATGAACGTTCTTTCCTACGAGTTTCTTATGGAAAATTCAAAGATCGGATGAATTATTGAATAGAAAATGTAAATTGATGTTTCTTAATGTCTATACGATCTTTAAAATGAATAGCGCACAACTTTGTAGATGCTTTATTGCGTGTGAAAAGTGGTATTCTATAAATCATCAGACTCTGGTTCTACGTTTCCTCTATGCGATCTGAGTGTATGTAACGCTATGTAAGAAACTATTTGTGAAACTATGCACTTAAGTCGACTGTTTCTTGCGGACTGATGACAGTCCTCACTTTACGCCCTCGCCTGGGCCCTCTGACCTTCGAGGAAAACCTCCCCTTAAGCACTTCAACCTAGACGCAATATTATCCTCGGATTCCACTGGAAAATATTTAAGATTACTCGCAAGAGAAAAATTAACCCTTAGCACACGGGAGTTGTTCACTAGAAATATTCAACTACAATTGCTGGAACTCTGAATAATATTCCAAAATCTAAGAATCAATACGAATGTTAACCCATTGTATCGAAGTTTACGTAAAAGAACTTACAATCAAATACAGAGTATTTGCGTCAGACTTCGCGCACGAAATTTCGGCGATTGGTCGCACAATGGCGGAATCGAGGTAGCATTTTCAGCGGATAAAAGCACGGGCGACCGGTCAATGGCAAAAGTACTCAAAGAAGCACGGAGCACGTGATTAAGTAATCACCCGTTTTCCTTCTCCTACACGATGAGATGTGTGATTACCCGTTCGCGTGACGTTGAGAATTCCGCGCTTTTGTAGCCGAATTGTCCTCGCCGCTGTCAGTCCGAATCGAGCGGACCGTCACGCGAGACGCGTCCCTTCGCCCCCATGGGAACTCTATTGCCTGCCTTCTCGGAATCCCGTAATGACGCCCCACCGCCGCCGGAATACGGTCGGAGGAATAATTTCGGGGTCCGCTGGTGAAAGAATTGAATTACCCAGTGATAAGCAATTTTAAACTACTTGTGCGCGTCTCGGCAAATTTTTTTCAGTGCAGTAGCCAATGCGGTTAAGTCGGTCTTTTGATACTTTCTGATCTCTGTAAATTTTCATGGAATAAATAATAATATTTAATAATATAATAAATAATATAATAAAATAATATTCTTTTTAGTTAGTGGAGGATTCACTCGTTTCTTCGTTTGTTCTAGAAAGACTTCTTTTGTAGGTTTTGAATATGTTGTACAATCATTTGAAACTGAAGCATTAATTTTCTCAATTTTTGTGTTCTCGAGTTAACCACATTGGTTCTGAGCGCCTCACATTTGCAATTGATACCGTAATTTTTAGCAAAGGATATGGCGCCATAAAATGGCAGTAATGTGTAGACGTTGAGTATATCAGAGACTTCCACTCCGCACCGAATATTAGCTTCCCAATTTCAATCAACAGGATACAGGTTTCTCATCACAGAATTACACGATATTACCATAGCAATTTGTCGGTTCACGATGTAATTCGTCGAATGACGTCACACAGGCTGCCGCCAACATGCGGGACGTAAATTCGACGGGCGGACAAGGGTTCGTCGCCTGTTTGGAACATGGAAACTGATCGATGATGCCCTGCGCGCGATGGCAACGAAGATTCGTCGGCAGATGAAGAGAAAGACGAAAACCTGACGGATGTCATTCCGTTACAGACACGGTGGACCATTTATTCCACGTGAACAAGCTCTGTTCTCACATGGAAGGCACAGTCGAAGACGATTGGAAACTGTAATTTTGATTAAGCCTCGTCTCCGCTGCATCTCATTTCTTCCTTTAGAATGCTACAATAAAACCGTAGCCATCATTATCGTCATTCCGACGGGTGCCATTGACTCTCATTAACCTGATTAACCCAGGCCTAACTGTCCGTCCACTTTTGAAAAGATGATCCAGGGAAAGTTGGCGCGATGCAACGTGGCATCACGCGTGACTATCCGTTATCCTTTGTGCATTATATCTCGTTCACGATTGGATCGCGCGCAGCAGGCCGTCGATCCGTTAGTAAATCACACGGGACGAACAAGAACGCGCAGCGCGCGCGCGCGCGCGATTCGACACCGAGGCGCAATGACGATTTTTCGCGTCACCGCGGCGCGATGCTGTCATCGCAGGATAATATGGCAGATAATGTTTTTTTTTCCACTGATAACGACTCGTTGCAACGGAATGGGGCGCGATAAGCAGGCGCCCGTTGCGATGGCGCGCGCAGCGCTCGCCGAGCCGACCGACAGCCGTCCCGTTCGATTTAACGCCGACCGCGTTTTATTATTGTTATGATTATTACCTTCGTTTATCTGCGTTACGCGGAATGGAGTAATGCCTCCGATCTCGTGGAATATCTCCGTTACTCTCGGGCTAATGAGGAATATTCAGTTACGGACGTTCCGTGGAACCGAGGTCGTAATGTTTTAATAATCACTTTTGTGGGTGCTGGGCTTTTTTTCGAATTCGGGGATACATCTGGCTTTCTCGATGGGAAACTCTGGTATTCCAGTACTTTAGTGTTTTAGTGTTTTAGTACTTTAGTGCTTTAGTGCTCTAGCACTTTAGAACTTTAGTACCTTAACGCTAGAACTACGAGGCGGTTAATACGATTAATATGTAATCCCTATAAAAATTGTAACAAGATTACTTAAGGCAATTAACAGACATTCGTTGTAGTATTCGAGCGAAACTATCGAGATCATTTCGAATATTCAATGTTTCTAAGATATTAATAATTGCGGAACAAGGAAATTGAGACCGGTCATTTTGTACCGTAGTTCTGGTTTAATGTTCTAGTAGTGCATTACTGTGTTACTCTGTAGTAGATGTTTAGAAGAGCAAAAAACAGAGCAAGAAAGGAGAAGGAAGTCGACACTCGTACACTAATTTCATCCATCAACGAATGCTCGCACGCGGGGAAATGTAAATTTTCCTCCACTTTCTAACATTTTCTCGAGAGACGCAAAGATTGAATCGATCGCACCACTTTCTAAATAAAAAAAGGGTATGGAAAACGTCAGTCGATTTTCTACGAAATTGAAAGCTCGGGGCGTCGAATATTAAGAGTCCCGGTAAACAGGAAACAATGAAATGATCCTCGGGGATGCAGGCGACAAAGGAGTTACAAGTCAAACGGATAAAATCGTTCGAATCGAATGCCCGTTCCAATCGAACGTACCGGGGAGCAGAAAGTGGTTAACAAAGCGACAGTTCGATCGATTAACCCGACATTATCGTGCATGTATAAATAGCGGTAACTGAGGGAGGCCGATTATCTCGCGAGAAGCCTCGAACAAAAGTCCACGATTTCGCTGGAGTTCCCTTTTAAGCTCCCTACACGCTTTAGAGTACATTGTGCGATGTATATTACGATGCAAGAAACTAGGAACTTCATTCATAATCATCGGAAACCACTGGTTTCGCGAAGCGAGTTCGGAAGAATTAGTAGTGTCAATAATCGAACTGACAATGGGTCGTACACAGAAACAATTATTAGTTTCAGCTAAAAAAGCAACACTCCAGCTTTATTATTAACCCTTTGAATCATCTGTCACCTTGAAACTCTTAATAGTGCTAACTTTTTCAACGCAGGATTATTTATTTTTTGAGACAAACATGTAATTCTTCCTCGTATCGCTTTAGTTTTTCGTTAGGATATATTTTAAGTGCATCTGGCCTGCGTTTAACGAGCATACACTTCATTATTTGATTTCATAGCGCGCAAGGAGAGATTTTTCAAACTAAATTCCACACTTAACCGGTTAAAGTATACTTAGTATCACAAACATGCCAGTTTAGCCTCGGTAAAGTGTCGACATTCGTCCGCGAAGAGTTAACATCAGCTTTACTTCAGCGTCGCATTGTAATCACGCGTGACACGCGTCATTCCAAATAAAGTGATCAATACTCTGAATTAAGTTAGTTACTAAGCAGATACTTTCCTCTATACACACTACCCATTAGAGGTTCTGCGAAGCCACTTAGCAGCACGCATCGCGACATGTTTACCGGTACGTAGGGAACCGCGCGATATTCAACCGGTGCCTTAAGGGTCTCGTACACGCTGAAATACGCGAAGCGTCGCGAGCGACGAGTTCGAGTCTGTTTCACGTCTTTTCAACGTGTACGGGAGGAGGTTCTTTACACATTTGTACAAGATCGTCTTACACGTCGGCGAGACGCTCGAAAAAGGACCCACCCACGGAAACTCAAGTCCCTAGGTCCGTGGAGGATTTTTCGAAACGAATTTCCCGTGTTTCCCGGACCGGCTGTAAGTCAGCCGGCGAAAGTGAAACGCCCTCCGGCCGTGAGAAAGTTCTCCCCCCGAAATATAATGGAGCAACGCTGCTGCCCGGGCCGGGTTCTGGCCTCGTCACAGCGCAGACGCGGAGACAGCCGCGCGTACAGTTTGAGTGCTCGTAATTAAGTGCATAACGAGGCTTGTTTACACGGATCCCCGGTCCTCGTAATCTCCAGAGCCGCTTAGTCTGCCGTTTTAATCGGACACTTCTCGGAACGGAATTTATGGCACGCCCATGGTGTACAATAGCACCGACGTTGCATCCCGGCGTCGACGCGCGTCGCGGCCGCGATGCGTTCGACGGAATCTTCGACGATCGGCCACGGCTGCCCGTAATAACTAAGCAACCGTTTCGGAGCGGAGAAACTCGCGGATGCCGCGGAACGTTCGAGTAAATTCATCATGCCCGACAGATTTTTAGGCATTCCAGAATTCGAGGGAATTTAGTCATCAAATTGAAGCTGCGAGGGGTTCTCTGTCGGTTGTTTCAGAGATTTTTGTACATTAACCCCTTGGCGTACTACTACGAGTGAAACCCGTGGTGAAGATTTTCAATATGATTCAACAAATATATGTATTACTCAGTTCATTCGAACTCAAAATAAATATTATTCCTCTGTAATCAAATATTATACTTAGAAGGAAATATAGACGTAACATATGCCTAGAATTTTTCTCTTTTTCCAATAAATTATTAATGACAAAGTATCGATCAGAGTTGAGAAAGAAATCATAGGCAAAAGGGTTAACCCCTTGGCGTACTTTCGCCACTATGTACCATTTTACTATCGACAATCTGGAAGTAATGCGACAAAATTGTCGATTCTACAAGTGGAAATTTCATTTGAAGATAATACAAGGATAATAGCGAGATAGTGGGTAGCTTTGATCTGCGGGTAACAAATAACATCGACTGTTGTTAAATTAGTCTAGAAATCTTCGTCGCGAGTCTCACTCGTCATTGCACAGCAAGGGGTTAACGAATGCACTACGATCCAGTTGTAACAAGAGAATATTCTGTTATGGAGGCAGATTGTTGTCGAATGTATGCAGCGAAACGAAAATCTGATGAAAGTAGCCATAACCCGTAGATAATTAATTTGATTTTAATGAATATTGTATGACGCCTTGCGTAAGCTTTATATTCAATGTGCTGCCTAATTGGAATAAAAATTCGTAACATTATAAGTTTTTTTATTTCATTGCTTCCTAACTTATCGTTCCCTAACAAGGAACGGCGGGTAATAAACTTTCGGACTCGTCTGTTGTTGCGGTAAGCGAGTATTCTTTCGGTGCGTCGAAACCAGCGATTCGTGACATCGTGAATTTTGAAATTTGTATTGTAATTCGTTGGTAAACTGGGGAACGCAAAGCTCATCCTATTGTGTTTACGTTTGTCGTTAGTTCGAACGTGGTACACGCGAAATTGAGACATTAAGTTATCGAGCTCCTTCGTAATTTTCCCGCTCGTGAAAGTGCAGTGAAAATCGTGCGTTACAGCACCGTTCAATTTAACAATAGAAGACCCAGATAGAATATAAAATGGCGGTTATTAACGATGGAGGATGATGCAAATACTACGTCGGAAAAAAACGATTATCATACGGCCTGGTTGTTGCGTTAGTCATTTCTTGATGTATCATATATCATCGAGCGAGCTATCAATTCTCAATGCAAATTGTGCTACTTTCATAATAATTGCAATGCGATTGCAACTAACGATCGTAGAACGGAAACTACGGAGTATCAGGGAAGACGATTTTTAAGCGAAAGCTGCACAATTTTATCGTTCGACGATTAGGTTCCGAAGAAAAACAATGTTTCCAATAACAACGCGGTTAAAACGTACTGAATCTCGCCCATTCATACGATCATTATTCTCGTTATCTTACATGACAGTTTACGAGCGTGCATACTGTTCCCTTTATTTCGCTTTCCCCTGTTATATTTTCAACGATTGGCTGTGCCGCGAAGACGCAGCGTTATCATTAACCGCGATACGAGCCAACGGAACAAAATCACGCATAATCCGAACTCGATGCTAACGGTCGCGGATTCCACTGAAATTGAACATTTCTTCCAATCGTTTCGTCGGCGGCTCGATTGTAACAGAACAAGTGCAGAGTGGGTCGCTTCGACCTACAAGCTAGTTCTACTGTTAATTCACCGTTACCCGAACGCGATCCGGCGAAAATCAAAAGCGCAACGGTTGCCCGTGCTCCCAAAAGTTAACACGTTGACGCTAAAACTACCAGAGGGGTCAAATGACCCATGATGTCTTCTTTTTGCAATTATTAGAAAGGTAACAAATGTTTCTCTGAGAAATTATTAGAGAAACTCATTTAGCACTATACAAATTCTGTAGCGAAATTTTCAAAGGTGAATTGAACTGCTCGGCAGTTTTAGTGTTAAGCGCCATGTAATTCACCGATCACCAACGCTTCTATTACTCAAAAGCAATCGTAACGTGCAAAATAGCCGATGTCCAATGAAAATGATAACGCAACTAAACAGACAATAGTCCAATGCAAGAATTGTACCAAATAATTAATAATTGTTCCCGCTTTTCTGCAGAAGAATAACTCTACGTGAAAACGTTCAAGATTTTCATGGCGCTTGACGCGTTAAGGAAAGGCTCGCGATTTCCGAAGCTGGCGTCGTTTCCGCGCTCCGTGTTTCGTAGCGGGTAAACACGTCTGCACGCGTGAGGGTGAAAATGTCAGACGTTTACCACGGGATCGCCGCGGGTTTCTCTCGCCTTCGCGATCCGCGTAACATGCGCTGCGCCTCTTTCGCCTAATAAATATCCTCCTGTGACAAGACCACAGCGGTGTCGAAAACACCGCGGGAACCCCTTATCGATTTATACCGGCGGGGCCCGGCTCGACGACGATGCTCCGAATACCGGCAACAATCTCGTCTCTCCCGCCGCGATCGATCGATTAATCATCCGATGTGTGTACCCACGGATTCGGTCTTAAAAGGCTTAACACTTCGACCGCCGTGTCATTCGAAAGCCAATGACACAGTCTTTTCTGTAGACTTAAGAAACTGATTCTCTCAATATCCAATCGAATCTTGGATCTATCAGATACAAAAAGCTTACAAGAGCAATCGGTGATCAGTATTTACTCTTTAGCTTCTGCTCGGGAGCATTTAATCGATAGCAATGCTTCGATTGAACATTGAAGAGCATCAAGTTTAACCCCTTGAACTCTGTAGGCTCCAATATTGCATCAGTTATAATAGTAAATATTTTAATGAATCAAAGAAACTACCCTAAAATTATTCGATTTTTCACACATCCAAATTCTGTACCAACAAGGAAAATAAAAGATCGAAGACACAGACGACATTGTTCGAAGCTACCTCAAAGAGAAATCGCACGGGAATTACGGAACGAAGCTGCTTTATTTACTATTTCGCGTATCGATGCACTACAGGAAGCTCAACCCTCTGCAGACGAACTTTGCCGAGATCAAACGTCCATGTTTCGAGTGCTAAGTTGCAAACCGATGATTTAACTACTCAAGCGGCAAGAAATCTGTACGTGGTTTCCTTATGCTATATGATTTAGGCATTCGACGTGTAATTTCGCAGGATATACGGAAGCTTTGGTACGCTTTAAACGATCCCCATCCGTAAAGGGTTAATAGCAAATATCCGGAGGCACGACTGTTTCCGGGCAACGCGATTCGATCCGAGGAAAAGGTCCGATTCGCGATTACCGGTGGAGCGGTGCTCGATACTCTTTACGCAAGCACGTAAAATTTCACCGGCGTCTCGCGACGCGAAAGGTTACTCGCCTCGAGTTCGGCTCGGTCACGGCTGCCGCGAATCCGGGATTCTATCCTGCCCTCTCAAGAGAAGGGATGCAAACCCGTCCCTCCGTTAGCGCGGAGTCTCCGTTCCACGTGGACTCGTTTTACGCGAACGAGAATCACATCGTTAAGAGGAAACAACGTATCGGGAAGAAACGTTACAAGTGTCAAAGGGCACATTTCATATAGTTTAACCTTTTAGCTACTGTACGCCACTATAGTAGCTTCGCGTATATCCCTTCTCTCTCTCTCTCATCGATAATTATGTATATTATAGTCTAATCTACCGTAATTGCACAGCGGAGAATTCTATTCGCCTGAAATCGCAGTGAAATTACGTTTACGACACGCAGGTCGCGTCGAATCCTGCCGTGCAAGATTATTATAGCTCCGCAGCTAGTCCCGTAGCTAAAAGGTTAACAAACAAATAATAATACCTCCGAACCGAAGGAGAGAAGTGAATG